CCTTTCTATTTACCTTTCATTTAAATCCATGATTAATTGCCTTTCACAACAGAAATAGGACATTCAGCTTGAAAAAGAACAATTTGTATTACTTTTCTCAAGATATGTTCTTGATATATGTTCTTTCGCTTCCAGTTTAAGAAGTATTTTTCCCAACTCTTTAAACGTATGTATTTATTACATGCTTGATAACCAATCCTAAAAATAAATTATTAAAATAAGAAACCAAGATGTCTCATGCCTGTAATCCCAGCACTCTGGGAGGTCAAGGCAGGAGGATCATTTGAGACCAGGAGTTTGAAACCAGCCTAGGCAACATAGGGAGAGCCCGTCTCTACAAAAAAATGAAAAATTACATAGGCGTGGTAGTGCATTCCTACAGTTCAGCTACTTGGGAGGCTGAAGGGGAAGGATCACTTAGCTCAGGAGGTCGAGGCTGCAATGAGCCAAGATCAGGTCACTGTGCAACAGTCTGGGCAATACAGTGAGACCCTGTCTCAAAAAAAAANAAAAAAAAAAAAAAAAAAAAAAAAAAAAAAAAAAAAAAAAAAAAAAAAAAAAAAAAAAAAAAAAAAAAAAACAAAGAAAAAAGAAAAGAAACAAAAAAGAAATAGAAGGAGGAGGAGGAGGAGAAAGAAGGATCTAAACAGGTGATGGCCTCCATGAGAATGCCGATGGATGCACATGTCCCTTAAGTCAATGAGAGCAGAGCCAGGACCCGGTGAGGTAGGAGTCACATTCATGTAATGGCCTGCCCATTAGCCCTCTAGTCTAGAAAGGCTTGTTGTCAACGGGCGTTCAATAATCTCTTCTTTTTCCTCGGACAGCTTTAATCGGGGGGAGGGAGAGGCTACGATCTGTCAAGAGTGGTTTGGCTGCAACGCTGTCTGAAGGCGTGAGAATGAACTCCAAGGCAGCTTCAGCATTGGAATAAGAGTCTGGGCCACATTCAACATCTTTGGTGTTCAATCGCTATCACTACCGTATTTGGCCACAGAAAGAAGGGGCCGCTCCAATCCTCCTTACAATTACTGCTCTAATTATTACATTATACTTTCACAATTTAATCCCTTTTTTTGCCTCACTGCCTTTGTGGGGCTAAGTGAGCACCACAGTGTGATGCCTGATGATGTAGCTAGCGGGGTAGCCTCACCAAGTGCTGCGCAGCTGCCAGCTACAAGCACAGCCAGGTGGGCAAGTCCAGAGTGCTAATCTGAACAGTGACATCTCTGTCTCCTGCTCAAAATCCTTGAAACTTGCTCTCTCCAATATGGAGTAAAACTGAGCACATACATCACTGCCAAGAATCACCCTGCGCTTTGCTCTGTTAAGCTTTTGGGAGCATTTCAGCATCCTAAAGAAGAATCATGCATAGAATTCCAATTGTTCTATTCTAATGATTGCTCAGTAAATAACTATTGCAGAGCTATTAATGTCTAACCTATAGGATTTTTTGAGACAAGGATCACGAAATTTTTTCACATTGTTAATCTACCATTACCAAACATACTGAAGACCCAAGGGTTTAATCCCCTCAAACCCAAAAACTGGTATTTTCTCAAGGCAGGAGACATTTGTTAGAGGAATTCATCTCAATCCACAACCTTTGGGAAAAAAGCTTTAATAAAACGTGGATAAGAGGGCACTCCAACCAGCCTGCTGTCTGAATCACAGTAGGTTCTCAGTAAATATTTGTTGAATAAATGGGAGTGGTTTTCACATTGAGAAACTCTTCCTTATATCAGCGTACTCTGTGCTCATGAATTTATCCCAAAATATTTGCTTATCTTTGTGTAGTTAGATGCAGAGCTGTGTTAACTGAGTTAACAAAATCAAATTAATAACAGTTAAAATTGTATATACTCTGTAACCATACGGATTATAACACTGTTGAACAATGGCTGGTAAACACCCAAAGATTTGAGGTGTGCTTTCATTCTCAAGTTTTGTAGTGTTAGCAAATAGGCTGAAGAGATTTCTCAAATGCCCAAAAGTGTTTAAAAGCCTTGTGCACAGACCACCATTGTTTTTAGCTTCCTCGCTTTCCATGTGATTCTATATTTCATTTTAAATTTAAGTATTCTGAGGTTAATGCCTTCAATTTATAGATGAGGATGAAGAAGATAAAGATCCAGTAGATGAAAGATTTTTGAAACAAAATATCAATAAATATAGCAACGACGAGCCAGAAATTATATAGTTACGAAGATATTTAGAAAATTCGTATGTACTGCACACTAACTTGGCTTTGTGTTCTTCATGTAAAACTATGGAAGGCTATGAACAGATTAGGGTTAAGTATCTCATCTACTATGTAAGCGTGTGATGACTTGACAAGCTGTGCTTCAAGTAAATTTTTTTTTTTTTTTTTTTTTTTTTGAGACTGTGTCTAGCTCTGTCTGTCCAGGCTTGAGTGCAATCATGGCTCAGTGCAACCTCCAACTCCTGGGCTCAAGCAATCCTTCTGCCTCAACCTTTCCAGTAGCCAGGACTACAGGCACATGCCACCATGCCCAACTAACTTTAAAACTTTTTATAGAGATAGGGTTCTCACTTTGTTGCCCAGATTAGTCTTTTGAACTTTTGTAAGTACTGGGATTACAGGCATGAGCCACTACAATGGACTAAGTAAATATTTTGATTGTGTTCTAATCAGCCACAGATTAAGGAGGCTATGTAACAGACAATAAAAAACCAAGGGAGAGAGAGTACAGCCTATTCCACTAAGGATTGTCACTAAAATCTTCAGTGCAACTGATGGAGAAGAGTTAAATTTCCAGATGCTCTCAAAAGGAAAGGTGGGGGCCAGGCACAGTGGCTCACGACTGTAATCCCAGCTACTTGGGAGGCTGAGGCAGGAGAATTGCTTGAGCCTGAGAGATGGAGGTTACAGTCAGCCGAGATTGTGCCATTGCACTCCAGCCTGGGTGACAGGGTAAAACTCTGTCTCAAAAAAAAAAAAAAAAAAAAAAAGGGGGGAAGGGCCAGGCACGGTGGCTCACACCTATAATCCCAGCACTTTGGGAGGCTGAGGCAGACAGATCACGTGAGGTCAGGAGTTCAAGACAAGCCTGGCCAACGTGGTGAAACCTTATCTCTACTAAAAATACAAAATTAGTGGGGCATGTTGGTGCATGCCTGTAATCCCAGCTAATGGGAGACTGAAGCAGGAGGATCGCTTGAACCTGGGAGACGGAGGTTGCAGTGAGCCCAGATCGTGCCATTGCACTCCAGCCTAGGCCACAAGAGCAAAAATCCATCTCAAAAAGAAAGGAAGGTGGGAGACTGCTCTATGTACACATAAAGGGTTTTAGAATCATGTTTTGTGAAACTGTTTAAAAGGATTAGTACTTAACAAATATTACTTATTTTGTGCTTTGAAAACTAGCACATCACAGAATTATGAAGGCTCCAAATAAGTTGGTTTCAGTCCTGTTCAACAAGGGACCATTAGCTGCTGATGGTCTATGGTCAGTGGTTAATGACCAACAGCATGATCTGGAGCAGTGGGTTTAAATTTGAATTAGCATCAGGATTACCCAGAGGGTGGGTAAAATGCAGATTGCTAGATCCACCCTCAGAGACTCTGTTTAATACACAATGGGGCCTGGGAACTTGCATTTCTTACATTTTCCCAGATTATGCTGATACTGCTAGTACAGCCACTGTACCTTCAGAGCTGTTGGCAAAGAATACAACGCAGTATAATGTGGTGGTTCTTAATTTTAGCTTTACATTAAAATCACCTAGGAAGCTTTCGAAAATCCCCCCATCCCTGGCTGTGCCCAAGACCAATTAATTCAGAATCTGAGGACATGAGCCCTGGCATCGGTATTTTTTAAAAGTCTTCCATTGATTCCAATGAGCTGGCAAGCTTCAGAACCACTGATATGTGGGAAGATAAACTTGGTGTCCATAACCAGTTATGAAGATGTATTTTGTAAACCACTGAGCAGAACCATTGGTGTGCTGTGGATCTTCAGTATATATATATATATATTTTTTTCCTTCCCCTATTTTCTTCAAAAGTGGATCACAAGAGATCTAAAAAAGTGACACCTAATTTTCTGCCAGAATATATATCTATAGCTTGTTAATGAACTGAATTCTGTATCCGTAGATTACCAGTTTAAAGGGGCATAAACAAATTTCAGTCCTATTTTTCTACATTGTATGGGGGCAGTAATGTTATTTATAAATCTGGAAATCTAGGAAGTTTGGGGTATATATCACTTGTATATGTTGGAGGTATATTTTATCATTCAATGACATTTTATTGGTATAATTTGGAAGTCTTTTTATAGCAATTCATTTAAAAGTTAGAAAAAGTATATATAACCATAAGAAAAAAAGAAAGATGAATAGGTAATGACATTTGTCTAGAGCAGTGGTTCTTAAAACTGGTCCCTGGACCAGCAGCATCATCAGCATGACCTGAAAATTGTTCAAAATATACAATCTCAGGCAGGCCCCCTCCCCAAATCTAATGAATCAGAGATTCTGGAGGTAGGATTCAGGAATCTGCATTTTAACAAGATTTCCAGATGATTTTAATGGACACTCAAGTTTGGAAATCACTGGTCTAAAGTATTTGTTATTTCCATGCATCTGTAAGAAGATCCAAAGGGGTCAAAAGCACTTAGTCCAATGTGCATTTGCACAGTTGCTATATAGACTCACATAATAATGTGGGTCTATGTAATAATAATAATAATATGCTCTAATAATAACTATGCTCTTGTAAACTCCACCCAAAGTTTATTATCCTTGCACCATTAAAGCTTAACAGTAAGAGGAAAATTAATAGGTATGGAGTATATCTGGGGGAATTTTATCCTATAAATCTTCCACTATCAATTGTAATCTGTTTCTCTTTTCTATTCAAGATAGAATTAAGACTATGGAACTTAACTTATAAGAATAAGAAGTAGGAAAAACAAAAAACAACTCATCATGTGAGGTTGGAAGCGGGGGAGGGTATTCCCAGGTCCAACACTAACCTTGAATTGTCCTCTTGAAGAATGCCTTGCAGGCTTCACATGAAGCTACCCCATAGTGGTACCCAGAAGCGATGTCACCACACACTAAACACAGTCTCTTGGGCATCGAGTTGAGCATGTATTCACACTTGGTCTGGGGATCTTCCACAATGGTGCTGGAGCAGTCATCATACAGTTTCCTGACAGGCCCACTACCTCCCAGGATAGGAGCAGAAGGGTAGAGAGGTGGCGAGTCAAGTCCGTTCTGATGGCCATTCATGGTTGAACTGTAGCTCCCACTGGCGTCTGATGAGCCACCAGGGCTGTGGTGGTTGACGCTGTCCGTCAGGGAGGCCGGGCTGGAAGGTTCCGTCTTGATGAAGGACGAACAGCTAGAATCAATGTGTCGATCTTTGTTTGACATTCTGCAGAGAAGCCTGAGATTGACAGAGATACAAACAGAGGGAGAAAGAGGAGAGGGTGTCAAACACAGAGACCAAAAGAACAAAAGAGATGGTGAAAAAATAGAGAAAGGGAAAGGGAAAGTTAAAAGGAGGAAAAAAAAAACAAACAAAAAAACAGAATTCATACGTTAAAAACATTTCTCTTTGAGAGTGTTTCCTAAGGGCTAGGGACTACACATCATTCATTCTCTAGTCAATACTTCTTGTTCTACAAGAAGGTAATCAGCATAAGGGCATGACAGGGTTACATCAAAGGGCCCAGACAGACCATAAACAAAAGCTCTAAAGGGTCCAATTGCTTTTATTTTACCTTTCTCTTGGAGAACCGGTGTCAATATCTAAATTAACTCTAGATTCTAAATTTATCAATGGAAGAGGTGGTGATTTGCAAAGTCTATACCATTTCTAAAATTGTATTTATCCTCACTCTACCTTTCTTTCCTCATTCTGATGCTGCAATCATTTTATTATGAGCAGAATAAACCTTTTGTTTTCAAGACTGAACAGATGATCCTCAGCTCTGTAATTACTGTTTGTCAGCATGCTTCTATAAGCATAACTGTGTCTTTTATTGATCTGACTAAAACACATAGGGAATATATACTCAATCACTTTGTTTCTTTATTTAAATTGCTCTATTTCATAGCCATTTGGCAATATAGAAAGACATCAAGTATAAAATTCCAGCCAATATTTAAAGATTACTTCCCAAAGCCTGCAAAACTTAGTGACTGATCACCAGTATTGATTAATAAGTGCATGTGTTTCTTGTGTGTGATTTGCCATTGTTTAAAAGATGAATCAGTAAAAGCCATTTGAGTCTTCAGTATACCCATGAGTCCATAAATCTGATATTATATTATCTGATATTATAAAATCCTATATTATATTTATATTCAGTAAAATAGAAATGTATCAAATTTTGTTCTAAAAAAAAGATATTTCCAATGGTCCTTCACTCACTACTTTCTGTCATTTAACATTATTCTTCCTAAAAGGAAAAATGTCAAAGCATCTATTCTGACACACTCTTTCTCTTATCTAGAAGACGAACTTCATCCCTTTTGTTGGTCGAACTAGTGACCAAATTTCTGGAAGCGTAATTCGATGAAAAGATATCATCGGTCTTATTTTCTTTTTGTTTAGCTATTGTGCAAAACCTCGTTTAGCAAAATCTCTAAGAACCTTCTGAGAGCCCACTATAGAAAGAAGAGGTGACAATCAAGAAAAGGACTTGGAAAATTGCTTCCCAATGGAAAGCTGATTTATGGGAATCCCTCTGGGTAATGGTTATTCACTAGAATTTGGGGGACTCCTCACAAGATAACCAAAGAGATGCAACTATCTCTTTCACCATACATCTAATGACATTTGATCACTGCACAAATTTTACACCCTCCTCCAGGTTCTCTTTTCCCCATTGTTCTGTTACTTTAAAATGAAGAAAAATATGGAACTTTTCTGGCAGGAAGGTTCATGTAACTCTTCCAAGAAGGCGATCTCAAAAGCAAAGCATTGAGGCAAGATTTGCCTCTTACCAAAGATATTTCACTTTGAGAAATTTTGCACAGCTTTCTAAAGTCAAGCAGTATCAAGATGTGAAGAAAGCAAATAGGAAGGAGAAAGCCACCAAAATATCTTCTTGCTTTCACCCACCCACGTGTGTTGTCCTTTCCTCAAGAACTAGTGAAAGAAAAAAATAGCCCCCTCGCCAGCCTGAACTACGGCGTCCTCTCTCTTCTGCATCTGCTGCCTTGTACCCGTCACTGCTAATGAACGTTGTAATTAACAGATCGCTCTCCTTGTCTCCTTAGCACTCTGGGCTAAGCACTTTCCTCAAGTCAACGTTTGAAAGAAAGCGGGTCGGCACTGACTTACAGCAGCCCTGCGAATTCCTTTTAATTTAGAGCACTTACACCACCACTTCACTTATTACCTTATAATTACTGGACTGCGTGCACATACATTATGATCTTAGACTAGAGTTAGAAGTTATTAGGGTACTAAACCATGCTTGCTCCCCTTTCCTCTCTCCAGCACTGAATTTCTCACAGCTATGACAATTAACTCTTTCACCATCTGCCTACAAGGCACTGTTTTTTAATTTAGAAAATGGTTTTTTTCATCCAGAGGAGAGTTGCTTGGAACTGCTTGATCACAAAACATATCATGATTTCTTCAAGCACTCTTTTTTTTTTTAATTTTTTTCCCTCTCTCTCTTTTCCTGTATCTTCTATGGTCATTTTCACCCCATTTTTTTTTCTTCGGGCTCTTGCTCATAGACTTGTAAAATTTGCAGAACTCTTGATTTAAAGAACAAGGCCAGAAATTACCCTCCCATTTCTGGATCAGTTATTTACTAAGCCATCAAATATTTATGTGTCAAATGCATGTTGTTAAAGTCCCTGAAAATAGGGACTCTCCAGCAAGCTGTCTCATCCAAAATCTCAGTCCATAACTTGGCAATAGCCTGGATAAGGCAAGGAAATTCAGGAGGTACAAGCTGCCAGGGAGGTCCTTGGAACAGAAGCAATATCTTCTCCTAAACAAGGTCTGGCCACTGGAGCCATAAATGAAAGTGAACCAACTGGATTTGTGCTGTAGGTTGAACATGTTTTTGCCCTGCCATGAACTGCTTCCTTAATTAATATCTTTTACCCAGTGGAAATAGTAAAAGTCAGAACTGCCATTTATCAAGCGCTTATTATGTGCCAGGCACTGAGCTGAGCTCTTTACAAATATTACCTCATTGAATCCCCAAGATAACTTTGGAAGAAAGGTATTTCTCTTTAGGAAAACGAGCCTCAGACCTTTCAGAATTTGCTGAAGGTCATACAGCAAGGAAGCAGTACAGCCTGAATTCGAACTCAGGTCCGACTCCAAAGTCTAGAGCAGAAATGTCTTGAAGCCAGAGTTTTTAATGGTGCTTATTTACTGAATTTTAAAAAAATGACCAAGCAAGCAAGGTAGAGGTGGCATGCAGAGATACACTTTTCTTTCTCAGCAATGACATCCACAGACCATCCATGAGTGGAGAAGGGCTGAAGGGGCCACTGCGCTGGCTGCAGGTCTGTCCTACTGCCTCACCCACCGCAGGGTTTGGAGTGACGCCTAAACAGAATCTCTGAACGAACACAGTTGTCTCCTAATTACTACTTAGCTCATTACACTGAACACTTCCTAGACACTATTATGTTATAACCTAAAACTACAGCAAGTCTTAATTCTCTGCCTCTCTGTCTCTGAAATTCTACAGCTCTATTATTCAAGCCTGAAATATTCACAACTATCTATAAATTCAATTGTCAGCTGGTGGGTTTTATTCTAGACTTCACTTCAATCTAAAATTAGAGGCACTAAAATTCACATTAACTCTAAGAGGAATGTAGTGAATAGGACTTTATTTCAAAAGAACACCTTTTTGTCAGAAAGAGCCATTTTCAAGATGATGGCTTTATCTGTAGCCAAAGAGAATAAGCCCAATTCCACATTGTGCTGTTAATGCAGAAATTTTAAGTCACATTGGATTAATAAAAATATAAATTTAGTTAAGAATTATGAATAGAAATAACGTGTCGAAATATGTGGGAAATATTTATTTTAAAGCCTTAGTATGGTCACCATTATTATTTTAAGAGAAATGATGAAACGAACAGGGAGTAAAGACCAGCTAGCTCCCTTCCCAAAACCTCTGAATGAACCCCCTGAGAATAAACTGGAGGGGGAAATAACAATGTCAAGAATAACCTTTAGTTTCTATATGAGACACTGGGTTTGAGGAATTTAACAGATTTCCTGAAATTTCAGGGCTTTAAAAAGCATTTCAACACAATTTGAGATACAGTATCAAATAATTCTGATGATCATACTTCAACCTAGGAAGTCATCTCCTAGCCCTGCTTAGGGTCAGCAAGGGTAAAAATTATCTTTGGTGTAGATACTAATGATCAGGCAAATAAAATGTCTTAGTTGTTTGACTATTCAAAGATACAATTTTTGAAAGTTAATTAATGGTGTGTAGATGTGTGCACATAGAGAGAGTGAGAGAAAGAAAGAATAAGAATCAATTAAAGTTGCTGCTGTAGGGGAAAAAAGGATAATCTGTGTTAATGTTCGATTTACATTGTAATTATCAAGCTTAATTGTTTTCAGAGATTCCACCCACAACCAGGTAAATGTGTGATCGTGAGTGAACTGCAGGATTTTGAATCTCCACATGTGTGTGCTGATGTTCAAAGGGGTCTACATTTCGATGGTAGGTCTGAAGCTCAGCCAGTACTTTTATTTGTTAAACACTGATATAACAATAATGTTCCACAGGGCTATACATTATTAACCCTTTTATTGAAATACAAGTTCTTAACAAGCAGCTGCATTTCATTATGCGAATTTTACACAGATCTTGAATTCATTTGCTACTGTATTTCTCCACTAAAACAAATGTATAAATAAATGGGAAAATGGGTGCATAAAATTCTCATAAGGAATGTGTGTACAGGTCATCTGAGATCTTCTTGCTTATTACACTAAGGCAAGATCTTCTGCAACTTTTATTATATTTATACCAATAATGAACCTTTTGGTAGGCTAAATAAATGTCAACTAAAGAAGTCAACACATTTTCGTTTCTTCTTTGTCATCCTTAGGGCCTAGAAAGGTCATTATTATAAATTCCAAATGCTTTAAAAATTTGTTTTTAATATTTTTGTGTAAGGACACAACACAGCGAACCTGCAAGTCTACATATAAATACAGAGATAAGAAGAGTCCCCAGCTCCTAGGTAGGATTCAGCAGAATCACAGAATTTCAGGGACAGAAAAGAAGGTTATCAAGTCCCACCACCTACTCACTACTGATTCAAAACAAAAATGAACCTATGGGGATTGGTTGATTTTCTACTTTCTGAAATCACCAGACTAAATATTTAAGTATTTGTGTTTTAAAAAATAGAAAGTTCTTAATAGCCTACTCT